ATAACATAATATGGACGAACCCTCGTTACAAAAGGATACTTGATTTTTATTTTGGTCGACACAATGGAATGAAAACATGTACTAAACGAGAGTTTTTGTTTTTATTAAACCGTTGTCTATCCTTCTTTCGCTCCTGTTGTAATGTGTCGGAGATGCATATAGCGGTGGAATAGAGCTGTGGTGATTACCGACAATGAAGATGATGATGGTTATCGGCTTACGAAAATTCTGGAGGAAAAAAAGGAGGCTGACGATTTTTATAGAAAGTGGGGAAAAAGATTATTAGGGTTAGAATATATCAAGCCATATTTATAAAAAAAATAATTATGGAATTAAGTAAAACTACCAATCTATCTTTATTTGTTTTAATAATAATTTATTTATTCTTTTTAAAATGATTGGTCCACAATAATTCTTACATCCACACAATAAATAGTTAGAACATATGAACCTCTATATATATATATATATATATATATATATATATATATATATATATATATATATATATATATATATATATATATAGATCGGTGAAGTGATAAATATTTTCAAAGTGTAACGCAGACATAAAAATGATAATAACACTTTTTTGGTGTGGTTGGGAAGCAGACATACCCTAGTTTCCAAATTATCTTCATTTTTTCCTTAAAAATATGGAGTAAAAAATAGGATAACTTGTGTTTAATCTGATATACCCAATTTGTTTACTCTAAAAAATATATTCCTATTATATACATTTTTGTAACTTTCATATATTATCGAATAAACACTTCTACTAATTAGTTTTAACAAATATATATTCTACTTTTTTTAATTACAATGATATTATAAATTATGTTATAATTAAATTATAACAAAAGAAATTATCCATGTATAGCGAATTTTGGATTAATTATTAATTTATTAAAAACTATTAAAAAAATAACACACTTATAAATAAATAACAATACAGGTTAAGGTGAGCATTTGGACCGGTGGATCGGATCGGATCGTTTTTTTGGACCCCCGGGCCGTTTTTTTTTGACTTTTTTGACTTTTGTTGACTGATTAATCCCGCCAAACCCGATTAATCATAAATTTCCAATTAATGTCCTAATCCTCGACGGTTGAAGAACGCCAAACAATTAATCCACGATTAATCGCCGATTAATCCCGATTTCTGCAACCATGCTAGTTAGTAAAAGACAGCCACGACTCCTAAAAGCATAAAGCAAGTAACATTCGAGCATTGAGTACACATAATCAAACATATACTACTCATACTGTCACACATATTAATCTGTACTAGCATGCAGTTCTCATAAAGCTAATACACATATAACAGGCACATAAGGCATCCTTCCTAGATACTTAGTCCTAATTTAGCATGCAATTCTCATAAAGTTGATAAACATATCATAACATAAACATGTATGGGTAATTTGAGAGTACTTACTTGAGCTTGGCTAATTGCATGCACCACACCCTTTTCACTTTTTTCAAAATTCATTTGCTTTTTCTAAAACTCTTTTCTTTTCTCAAAATCCTTTTTACAAAATTGACTTTTCTTTTGAAAACTGCTTTACCAAGTCCTTAGTTTGAGTTTAGACATACCTGAAAGTGTGCCTGAATCCCTCAAACCAATGCTCTGATACCAACTTGAAACATCCCAAAAATATAGTCCGAAAATTTCGTTTTTAAGTCATTAATAAAACCATAAATCGTCCGTCATCATAAAGAAAATCAAGAACTATGTATCTCAACACTTCATGTCAAATACTGTATCAACATCAAATAAGAAAATATCAGAGTCTAAAACAATCCCAGGCTGGAACTATGGTGTGTGTCATGCGATCATCTGGAGCCCTTCCCCTTGCTAGTGGAAGTATCTGAAACCAAACTTAAAAACTATAAGCACGAAGCTTAGTGAGCTCTCCTAAACTACCACATACCATACGATAACATATACTAACACATACTGAGCCTTGCTTACTGCATCGGGCGCCAACCAGCATCAGACTAATCCAACATCGGGCCCACTCGACATCGGTGCCCACCCGGCATCGGACTGAAGTCTGGAATATATATCATAACACATATCACATAAACATATAACACATAGACAAAATAAACTTCCTTGGGCTTGGCCCGGCATCGGACCGAAGTCCGGTACATATAAAATTAATTTTGCATCGGGCTTACCCCGACATACATAACACATAACATGCGTGAATCACAAAGACATCAATCATACATATACTCTTCTCGGGACCGCCTCAGCATCAAACCAAAGTCCGGAACATATAAGTTGCTTCGGGCTAACCCCAACACCGAACCTAAGCCTGACATATACTAACATTTATAAACAGGCCGACATTGGTGCCTTTGACCCGTTCCTACTGGAGGAAAAACTCACCTCTCAATCTGGCTGCTGAAAACTCGTAACCTCAACTATAAATAGGGATGCATGCTTAGTCATTTGGAGTCTGGTGTCTTGTATCTTGTATCATTAGCGAGTAGGACAGATCTCTAGTGAATTATACTTGTAACCTTTGCTTGAAAACTCTAAAATAAAGAATACTCTCCTCCTGCCCGTAGATGTAGGTCACCTTAGCCGAACCAAATAAATACAACGTCTTTGTGTTTTTTTAGTTTTGCTTGTTATCCACATTACATCCTCACAAGGGTCATCAGAACTTGGCATGTGGCATCAGATTTGTTTTGAGTCTTGACAAATATCGTCTATTTTCCGTAACAAGTGGTATCAGAGCTGCGGTTGTGTTCTGTTGATTGAATATGACATCTTACAAGTTCGATTTGGAAAAGTTTAATGGTTCGAATGATTTCTCTTTGTGGAAGGTGAAGATGAAGGCTCTTCTATTTCAACAAAGGTTAATTGACTCTTTGATTTTTGCGAGATTAATTGACTTAACATGAAGTGCATGTTTAATCTCTTCTACATTTCTTCTTTCTCGTGACGGTATGTCACATATCACAAGTCCGGATAGTAAATCGTCCATAAAGAAACATGTGATACCCGACCCAAGACTCTAGGGTTAGAGACGATCTAATTTTGTGAGACCGTGAAACGCATTTTTTTTTTATTTTTAAATTTTTTTTTTTAGTTAATTCAAGTTCCGAAAATAATATTTAAAAAAAGAATTTTTTGATTTTTCCATTTATTTTGCATTTTAAAATTATTTTTAGAATATGTACAATTTAATATTCTATTTAGAATATTTCACGTATTTTTAAAAAAAAAAAAGATTTTTTTTTAGTTAGTTCAAGTTCCGAAAATAATATTTAAAACTTTTTTTTTTAGATTTTTCCATTTATTTTGCATTTTAAAATTATTTTTTAGAATATGTCAGTGTAATATTCTATTTAGAATATTTCATGTATTTAAAAAAAAAAAAAACGGGATTTTTTTATTTTTTTTATTTTTAGTTAATTCAAGTTCCGAAAATAATATTTAAAAAAAGAATTTTTGGATTTTTCCATTTATTTTGCATTTTAAAATTATTTTTAGATTTGATCTTACGGTCTCATAAAATTAGAATGGTCTCAAATGAACCTCTCTCTCTCTCTCTCTCTATATATATATATATATATATATATATATATATATATATATATATATATATATATATATATATATATATATATATATATATATATATATATATATATTATAAACTCCTAATCCTATTACTTATAATTAAATAGGCCGCATTGTGTTCCTTTTTAAGTTTTTTGGTGTTTCGGGCTCGTCACTTACTCAACTACGGGAATTTGCAATATAACATCAAATATGATATTTTAAACTGTTTTTTACATTATTTCTTTACAACCCATTAATATATTGTTGCATCGAAACGGTATAAAATAGTATAATTCCAAATTACCATTTTAATGTTAAAACTGTTAAGGATTGAAGATAATCTAAATCTATAAACATGTTTTTGTATGTAAACTTAGAAATTCAAATAGGTCAACCAAGGTTGAAATGAAAAAAAAAAAAAGATAAATATGTGATGGCTAACTTCAGAGAAAAGATTATCAAGACCAGGTGAAAATTCCAACCCCATTTTATAGAAACAATTTGGATTGGGTCGGAAAAAGAATTCTAAGTACTTAATTATATCATCCTTTTTAACATCTTACATTTATTAATTACTATCTTACCATTATACTTCAATATTTTTAATAAGATTTATATTATTTCGAAAGATATATAAATTACGATAGCATGTAATTTATTAATACGAAAAGTGGTTACTTTTTTGCTTTGTAACGCTCTATAACAAATATTTAGCTAACATGACATATGTAAAATACCAAATATTTTTCTTTTTAATTAATGTTTATACATAAATCATTTTTATTTTAACCTCTTATAATAGTACACAAATATGAACAAAGTTTTGTTCATACAACAAAACCCGACCAAACCTCCACTTTGTATATTTAATGACATTCACGATTAATTATAAGAATGTGGACATAGGTTCAGGAGCTGAAAACAAGGTTGTAAAAATCTTTTGACGGTAACTCGACGGTTGATTATGGTCAAACGATTAATCGGTTTGACAGCAATTAATGGGGACCTAACTTACTAATAAACTATTTTAAAACTTACTATATCCTTAGTCAATTAGTATTTGAAACTTTAACATTTTGAAAATTTAAAAAATTTGTTATAATATTTGAAAATTTGAATATTTAAAAATTAAAATTTTTGAATTTTTGAAAATTTTGATGTAATATTTGACTAGTTGATTTTTTTTTTAAATATTCCCGCCTAGAAGAGCCATGGACCGTCGAGGACCGCCTAGCCGACTTTGACCGATATTTACTAATTTTCGTCAATCATCCTTATTCGTAATTAATTGCAGACCGCCTAGGTCGATAATTACAACACGGCTTGAAAGATAGAAGTTATAACGCTCTCATGCAAGGCACAACTGAGAATGGATAGAGGTCCAGTGAAAGAAAACAAAACAAAAAAAAAAAAGAATATGGATGGACAGCTCTCTAACAAACGTGTTCGTGGATGGATTTCCCGAAGACAAATCAAAGGCGGAACTATGGAAGCTGTTTACGAGATTCAGACAGATGGTCGATATATTCATCGACGGTTGGCAACAATACCATAGATCGAAGTTCGCCTTCGTAAGATAATAGAGGAGTGCAAGACGAACTGAAATTGGGGAAACGCTTACAGAGAATCAAATGTAGGGAATTATATCACTTTTAGTACTTAAAGGATGTTGTTATTTAATCGTTTTTTCTGCATTTAATGTTGATACATATCAGTTTTCTACACCCAAAATGAGTTTATTATTAAGAAAAATAAAAACAATTATTAGCCACGACACTATTACCGGGGACCATGAGTATTACCGGCGAAGATTTCATTAGTGGTGACTGTAGGTATTACCGACGGCAGGAATATTATATGTGACAAGAGTCTTTAGCGGCAATTTTTTTCCTCCAGCAATAAACATATTTCTTGTGGTGTTTATCCATTTTGGTCATGTATTATATCTATTTATTTTGTATTTTATCATTCAGGGGAAAATACACAAAATAAGTGTATTGCTTATGGTTTTGTCATTGTTGAGGACTTGTAATGTTTGAGGATGTTTAGAGTATTATCAAGTTTTTTTTATTATTTTTTCTTAAATTCTTTTTCTTAACGTATAATTGTAAAAGGAAAAGTTTATGGTAATTGCTTAAAAGTATGTGTTATGTGATTGTATGGATTTGGGCATTTAAGAGTGTTTTGGAAATAAAACATTTAAAAATATGATTATTGGAACATTGCATTTGGACTTATGTTGCATCTTTAAAAAGATTAAAATGATATTGTTTTTGTTTCGCATGAGGAGGTTGAAAATTGTATGATTGTATAGCTTTTAAACTCTAAGTTGAAACTCATATATGAAAGGGAAAAGAGAATAGATAATAGACAAATATGGTAATTAAAAAAAGAGTTTACATAAAAATGGAAACCATGCATAAATGGAAATCTGCTCAAGTATCATGATAACGTTAGCCGTCAATCTCTGTTTTGCCATGATACATCTTTTACACATATCACCACATTTTGCTTTTTCTTAACCCAAAAGATCTTCCATGTGCAAGACACACTACTAACAAATACGACGAACACAGAAAAGTGAAAAAGAAACACACACTCTCTCTCTCTCTCTCTCTCTCTCTCTCTCTCTCTCTCTCTCTCTCTCTCTCTCTCTCTCTCTCTCTCATCCTTGTTTCATTCACTCACGAAGCCTTGCAGTTCAGTTCATTGCAGTTCGTCGCTCAAGCACAAGAAATCACCATATCATTCTCCACATATACACAAGGTTAGCATAACTTCCTCTTAAAATCTTAGATTGATTCTTCATAGCATCTTGACTAGCCCCCGTTTTTTTCATTTTCAGTCACATTCCTTTTCTTGCAATACCTAAGGGTAATGTATACCAAAGGAAAACATATCCTGTTATTGTGTGGAAATGTACGATTTTCAACCTCTCTAGACCAAGAATTTCTTAGGGTGAGGAAGGAACTTCTCATATCCAAAGTTGCATTAACATACGACCATTGTGCGAAAAACAAAGCAAATGCTAATGGTCAAATTTACAGAATTGCTCAAAAGATTCACTGCCAGATAGTTGTGAATTGCTGGAATGATGTGGCTGATATGAGAAGAAGGTTACTAGCTAGGCATATACGTAATCTGCAGAGAATATGTATCTGCTAGGGCTTTATTCAAGGAATTTTACTTTTATAAAGATGAACGATGGGTTTGGCTTACAAAAGGTTTGGTTATTTCCGAGTTTTACCTCATAGCAGTGGCATGTTATTTTATACTTCTAAAATGTGGAATTTCTCCAAGTAAGTACGTGTTTACCCCTCTGGTTAAAGCGTCTTCTGAATTAAGATCATTAAAAGTGATCAAATTTTTTGATGAGCAAATTACGAAGCTGGGCTTTGAGGATAACCTTCACATGCATATCTACTGCCTTACTACAATCTTATTCAAACAAAAACTGTATTGAAGACACACCCAGGGTCTACAACAAGATCAATAAAAAAGATGAGTTGTGTGTGAGTTCGATCCTCTCTTGTTACTCACAAAGGAATGATTTCAAACAAGGTTCTCCGCATATTGAATGAAACCAGGGCAACCGGACTTGAACCGGGGATAGAAAACTACACAATCGCCCGTGGTGTCTCTGAAGCAGATACTAAAGTCGTGACAGGGATTCATGGAATGGTGATAAAATGTGGATACATGATCAGCTCACATATGGTCAGCAAATTGATGTCAGTGTATATAGATTGCAAAAGGCTCTCCGATGAGAGAACTTGTTAGGAAATGTAACCAATGATAATATCAATCAAATTGTTTGGAACGTGTTGATCCAAGGATACGTTGAAAGCAATCTCATAATTGAAGCCATCGGATTGCTTTCAAAACTATGCTCTAGATGTGAATCGGTTAATATGCCACAGGTATTGAAAGCATGCTTATTTCTCGGATTCATACGTCTTGGTAAAGAAATCCACTGTGCAATGAAAAGAGGCATCATAGCTACCGACATCTACAGTGAGACAACCTTGCTAAATCTTTATTCGATTGAATCGAAGAATTTGGCCACTTATAACTCCATGATATCTGCATATGGGGAGCAAGGTCTTTTAGATGAATGCCTTTCTCTGTTTCACGAGATGAAAGGAATGAGACTCAAGCCTGACGGGGTCACCTTTTTAGCCATATTGCAGGGATGTAGTCATGGGAAACAAGTTGACGAGGGACGCTACTATTTCAAAGAAATGAAGGTCCGTTATCGAATTTCCCCTTCTGCTCTGCATTACGGATGTTATGTTGGCATTTTTACAAGACCTGGGCTTTTCATTTGTACAACTTTAGAGGCATTTAACCTGGCAGAAAAATGGTTAGAGTATCCACCTCATAATTCAAAGATCACTCCCATGAATAGATGATTATGCTTCTACACTATTACCAGCATCTAGCTTTTGATTTATTTCACTGATATGTTGAGAAAAAGTAAAAGGATTTGCTTAATAATATTTTGTAACTTGTGAATATGATGAACCGATCATAGCACAAATATTTTTGGGAATTAAGTATGACTCGTGTCAAACATTATGTTGCTTAACATCAATAATACACAATCCAACACCCAATTTTGAGCTCTTACTTTGCATTTTCAAATATGTCCGCAAGGAACTTTTCAGGCCCAAAAACTCCTAAAAAGAACAACAAAACCAGAACAAACCTCCAATTCGTATATTTAATGACATTGACAATTAATTATTAGAATGTGGACATAGATTCAGCAATCGATCACTTGAAACATAGAAGTTATAGCTCAAATGAAATTAAATTACCTTTCCTTCCTTCATGGCAACCACGGATCAAAACTCCAACACCTAATCGAATACGTTATCCTGTTTCAACATTGTTCTCTGGCAAGCCCGTTCTCTTGTTGAAGACTTCGATGTATAACAATTATGGTGTTAGCAGTGCAGTTTGGTGCAGTTTTAGAGTAAAAACCACAAATGTGTTATTGCGGTTTGGTACGGAATGTTTGTATAATTTACTGATTGTTTAACTTACACTACATCGACTTAAATCATAATAGTATATGTTATTGACCACATTTTAAAACATAGAAGGTAATTAAATGATATGTAATAGATGGATTAGTTGTAAAAATTGTTGAATAATAAAAGAAAATGCATGAGTCTCTCGTGGAGCTTGATACTGAGGTGATCACACCCTCTAATCAAATGGAATATGTGTGGTATATTTTCATATGGATGCCATTCAAATTAATAGTTACTTATGAAATAAATTTGATAAATATATAATTTGTATTCACGTTATATTTTAGTTACATATTGAGTTATAAAATTTTAAAAGTATACAAAATATATTAATTTTTAAATAAACTTAGTCAATAATTATTATAAATATTAAAAAAAACACTTATTTTTTGCTAGATATATATATTTTTTTTGCTCTCTAATCAAATATTGTAACTACCATATTAATCTACCACTCATACATAATACATTTGTTTTAACTTTCATGTTTTCTTATATTCTAAACAAATAAATTTTGTTCGTAATATATATATATATATATATATATATATATATATATATATATATATATATATATATATATATATATATATATATATACACACCTGACATAACTCTAAGGCTAGTAGTTGACGTAAAAATTTAACAAAATAACGCGTTAAATCATATAATTCTATACATATCAATAATAGTAGAATATATATATATATATATATATATATATATATATATATATATATATATATATATATATATATATATATATATATATATATATATATATAAACAACCACCTTAATTTACGCTTTACAAACGACGTGGTTCGTCACAACTTGTAAAAACTTGAGTAGGGATGAGAATTTGGCCCGAAAACCCGAACCGAACCGAAACTTGAATTAGGCCCGAATAACCAATTTGATTCGGGTATCTATATTATGTTTATTCGGTTCGGGTTACCTAAATAAGAGCTTATTCGGTTCTAAATACTAGACCCGAATAAGCATTCATGTTCCATTTTCTCTTATCGATAGAAATCAAATTCAAGATTCACACTTCTGTCATTGCCATTCATAATAGAAAAAAACCCTACACTCGTTCTGGTCGTTTCAAAATCGACCAATCTTGTCTACTATTTCCAAACTCGAAATCACTTCTGTCGATCAATTCTCTTGTTTCAGACTTCCAAAAATCGACCTTTCCTATTGTATCTGAGTATTCACGAATACCGACTTTGTCTAGTCATGGAAAATTAGGCTTCAAATGAAGAAACTAAAGTAAGAAATTAATTCTCATTATGTTAATCTACTATGTAAATGTTATTCTTTCAATGTGTTATTGTGTTATGTTAGTTTTTGAATGTTTTACGTTGATGTATAAAAGTACATTATTATTCTATTACTCGGGTTATGGAATCATAATACAATTTATTCGTTTTTTCAGTTATATTAGGTCCTTAATCATCATATATATGTTATTCAGGTAATAACCGAACCGAACCGATTAATACCAGAACCGACCGAACCCGTAATGGTTAATCGGTTCAAACAATTACCCTTTATTCGGTTTTCGGGTTATTCGGGTTCTGATCGGTTCGGTCCAATTCTGGCCCGAATAACATCCCTAAACTTGACGTTAGACATTGCCGCCAAATCAGGTCTAACTTTATTTAGAAAATATTATATATAAAATTAGAGCTTCTATGAATGGGAGATTAAATTTAATTAGTTAGTGATTAAGCGGTATTTATAAATAATCACTGTTTTGTATTAAAATTTTAAGATCATTTGTTTAGTTACATGTACATATAGAATACGTCATGTGTTTCCAAATATTGTTTTAATTTAACAGATAAGCTAACGTTAGTTTTTGACTTCCAAATGATATATCCACAAGTATGCTAGTAGAAAATAAAGGTAACTATCAAAATCAATATCAATATCACCTAATATTATAAGACAAACAAAAACAAAAGTATGTCACATTCTATTAACAGAAAGCATTACTTTACATCACAAAAAATATGTACACGTCTTTATAGTTCGATAAAAAATCAATAAACAAAAAGATAAATACAACCAGAAACTACTTCTTTGATTACGAATAATCGATCAAATAGAGTGGCAAATTACTTAAACGCCCCTTCACAGTTAACATGAGAGGAAACTGGCACGAAAATGAAAGGAGGGTCCCAAGCGTAAAGAAACTGGACAGTCGCAAAAGGAGGTATTGGGCGGCCTCCGTTGACAGTGCAATTATTCCCGACCGGCGCAAACACATCCGGATCAACTTTCTCGACCGTCTTGAAACCATCACAAGAGACTGTAAGGGCTTGCTGTGGGCATTTGCATGTGTTTATAAAACTGACTTTCCATTCTTGTTTACCTTCTATCAGTGCAGAAGTTCTTTCTGTCCCCACTGTTATATCTTTCAATTCGCATTCACAGAAACCTAAAAGGCAAGTGGAAGTGGTTAGGGACATGTTACATCGATATCGATGTGTAAACATATAAACAACTCAAATTGGAATTACCTAGCTATGAGACGTTTAATCAATTATTGCCTTGATTTATATCATGAAATATCGTATGAACACACAATAAAAATCTTTAAGCGAATAAAAATTAACGAGACCAACGCTATTGTTTGTATGTAAAAAAAAACAGAAAATTTGTGTGGAGTTCGTCCATCACTAAAGTTTGAATTCCGACACACGACGGATGACCAAGAAATCATGTAATTAATCACCTTTGAAGAGAAGATTGAAGAGAATAATTGCAAGTATAGCCGTCGTTGCCATGAGCTTGGAGCGCTCTCTCTCTTCTTCTTAGATATCTCTAGTTTGAGTTTTGTTGGTGGATTGTATACTTCTCATATATATATATATATATATATATATATATATATATATATATATATATATATATATATGCCCCAATAGATAAAGCTAATGCGCCCACTTAGCATTTATAGCGTTGATATATACTTATACCAAAACATTGAATTGATAACTAAAACAAAAATATAATTAGAAGTTATTGACTAGTCTCGATACAACATTATCGAAAAGACAATTAGAAGTTATTGACTACTCTGAATACAACATTATTGAAAAGCGTTATTGCCCGAAAATCCTTGTATTTTGATTTAGATTTCGAAAAAACCAATTCCTTTTAAAACAAAATAAGACCTAAAATCGGATACTAATTTGTATATAGAGTTGATATTTTTGGTTGCAAATCGACCAACGACCGCAGGGGTGCAAACGAGCCGAGCCGAGCCCGAGCCTAGCCAGGCTCGGCTCGGACTCGTTTAAGTTATATGAGGCTCAAGCTTGAGTTCGGCTCGATTTGAGCTTTCTTGTACTGACCTCGGCTTGAGCTCGTAAAGAATAATATAAGCTTGGCTCAGGCTCAGGCTTGATTCATTTTTTATCTGACATGCCTAAATAAGCTTAAGCTTGGTTCGAGCTTATTAAGAAACTCATTTACTTATACTCTAAATTCAATTATTCTCCTAATATGTTTTTATTTTAATATATATATATATATATATATATATATATATATATATATATATATATATATATATATATATAATAATAATAATAATAATAATAATAATAATAATAATAAATTATATTATATAAAAACTTGTTTAGGCTCGCGAGCCTAATCGAGCTTAATGACATAGGCTTGAGCTAGAGCTCGTTTAATAAACGAGCTTAATATTAAGCTTGAGCTCGGTTCGGGCTCGTTTAAAATCGATTTTTAGTTGAGCTTTTAACGATCCGATCCTAAGTAGCTCGCGAGTAGCTTGACTCATTTGCACCCCTAAACCATCGGTTACCTAGACGATGTGGCAGCCACCATGTGTGTAAATGGGACCATTACATGGAATCATGGATACATTGGTGGAGTAGGATGTGGCCTCCATCTTTGTAAACCGAGATCTATGTGCTTTGTTGCAATAATAACCTTGTTAGTTGATCTCGTGGTAGCTTCCTAACACCAAAGCTTTCATATCCAACGGTTAAGTTTTCGATATCAGCTCCAGATGCTTGGTAATCATTGCTTCTGTTTTCTGCTAGAAATCAACAATGTTTTTTTGGTGATCTTCTGCTTTTCTCCTTGCTATTTGATTCTATATGTTTGATGTGATTTAGTTCCAAGTATATGATGATTATTGTATGCCTCTAGTACATCTAGAAAATATTTTGTATTGTTCAAATATATGTGATGGTAGATTTGAAGCAACTCTAGTAGTCTTGTGGTTTTACTCTTTTTTCTTGAAAGGTTTCCACGCTAAAATTTCGGTGTATCGTATTGATTGATTACTTACTATTTTTGAGTTGATTATGTTGGTCATATAACTGG